CTCCCCATCAGCCTACTTAAGTCACACGGCGCCATTTCCAGCACAGCAGAGTTCAGCTGCAGCCTCGTTAACTGCAGGCAGGTGGGGACAGGTTCAACTGCTCCATGACAAGGATCAGATCCACAGATGACCTGTCTCCCATCAGCAAAGTATAAAAAGAACTTTCCAGTTCCTTGGCCCAGAAAACAACAGCATTGTTTTGTTAAAGTCTAGCAATAATTCGTTCCCTAAGCGGGTATTTGGCCAGAGCTGGAAGCTGCTGTCATCTTACTCCGTTCCCTTATCCATAATTCATGCTTAACGTGGCTGCAGTGTGTCCCCTGAGCTCCTCATATTCCATTTCCATCACACAGCCCTTTTGTAAACCAACCCAATTAGAGTGTTTGTGTCAAATTGCCATATTCTTTCAACATCCAAAAGCCAACCTTTCCCCTTGGTAATACGGCGATATTAGGAGTACAGCCTGCTTTCGACTCTATTCCTGGCAGATGGCTGAAAAGTATGGACAGAGATGACCTCCCCTGGCGTCCAGCAGGCTGACGATCCGCCCCTGCTCAGTCTTCTCCACCCATGGCCTGTGGCCCTCAAAGGATGGCCTTATCAGCTTCCTTCAAATATGTGACTTAGTGCTGATTTCTGCCTAGTTCCTTTTAGTCACTGGTGCCATTTCTGATGGAAGGAAGGCTGTTAACCTGTGCACATGGTCATCACTCACCCGCCGACCGGGCTTCAGGGCAAACACATCACCACCTTCGGGCTGCTCAAGTTGAGGTGACCCAGTCATTCCATTCCTGTCCCCATCCAGCGACAAGAGCGGCTTGCTGCACTTGGGCCAGGGTCTGTGAGGCCAGAAATCCCCTCGCAGGCACGCCCCAATGTCCAGCAGGTAACAAAAGCCATTTCTGAACCACCTGCCTCCAGTCCGAGGCGCAGACTGCCGTGCCCAGATGGTGAGGCTGACCGAGATCTGTGTCCGGAGCAGCGACCCTCGGTCTCTGTTGATCAGAGGCAGCAGAGCCACAAGACGCACAGCCTGCCCCTTCTGGGAGCAGGTTTGCAGCAACTCATCGCCAACCCTGATTGTTCTCAGGATGCCACAGACAATGCCAGGAGCCGGGCAGGAGAGCGCCAGGTGATTGCTGTGTCCACGCTCTGGTGGTAACGGGCCCTCACCCTGCCAGTTAGAGGACCCCCTCAGTGATGACGCACACATGAGCTTTCTTCTGAGAGGTGCGGACCAGGTTCGCCGTGTCTCAACCTCATTTTAATGAGCTGTTTAGATAAGCGGCGGCCCAAAGCTTCAAAGACATCAGGCAGGCCTCAGTGGCCCAAACGGGAGCACATTTGATGTGTGTCTATCGTGGCCACATCTTCCAAACGAAAACTCAGGGCACAGGGGCTGACGGAAGGTGACTTATTTATAAAAACACTTTACATTAATGAACTGCCTTTGTTGAAAAGAACCAAATCAAAGCAAACTGGGAGAGTCCCAGAAAACCTGAGGCCTATAGTGGCGGTGCCAGTGTCCCCTCCTGCTCAGTGGCACCGCAGATCGTCCTGCTCACATGGGCAGAACAGGGCAAGGTGCATGGGGGCTGGTAGAGGTTGGTTCTTGCAGTAAGGCCGATCCCCACCAGGCTGTCCTAGCGACTTTCTAGGGGCCTTCTGCCAGCAGCCGGGGGACCAAGAGGCTCCCGAGCAGCAGGTGAAGGCAGGGAGAGTGGGTGAGGGGATCGCGTCCCACTTCCCTCCAGAGGAAACCACCTGGGATCCACCTGGAAGTCCCAGGGGCTTTGTCTCTCCCACTATGTAGTTAGCGCTTGAGGGAAGGAAACAGAGACCTCTGTCTTGGCCCTGCAGCTTTTTTTTTTTTTTTGAGACAGAGCCTTGCTCTGTCGCCCAGGCTGGAGTGCAGCAGCGTGATCTTGGCTCACTGCAGCCTCCACCTCCCGGGTTCAAGTGATTCTCCCGCCTCAGCCTCCTGAGTAGCTGGGACTACAGGTGCCCACCACCATGCCCAGCTAATTTTTGTATTTTTAGTAGAGACAGTGTTTCTCCATGTTGGCCAGACTGGGCTCGAACTCCTGACCCCAGGTGATTTGCCTGCCTTGGCCTCCCAAGAGCACAGGCATGAGCCACGCACTGTGCCCGGCCTGCCCTGCAGCTTTGAGTGTTGAATGGAGTCCTAGACCGAGAAGCAGAGCTCCAGAGGTGATTTCAGACCATGCAATTTCACCTCCCCAGAGACTGAACCTGCCTCCAGCCCTGACCTGCAGAGACAGAGGCCTCAGGAGACTAGGGTGGCACACGCTGCTGTCTGGTGTCTACCAGGCTCTGCCAGGTGCTTACAATGACAATGACAGCACGGAGTCCAGAGCCTCTCAGCCGCAGCTTGGCACCTACCCAGGAGGTTGTGCGTATTAACCAAAGGCTGAGCCTCCCCAGACTGCACTCACTTTCCTGGGGCCATTCGCCTGCTCCCTGTGTAGCGGGTCGCCTGGCCTTTTAGCTCCCTGTGCTGCTTGGCTGTGTTTTTAAATTTAAGTTCTGACTTTCAGTCATCCTAAGCAGCATCCCATGGACTCCCTGGTGTGTGGTAAAGTTACTTCTTTTCTTACACGTATTAAAACAGTTATACACCTGTTGAAGTCAATATTCATCCATGGAACACCCAGAACTCTCAGGACCTCTCGAGGGGGCAGGGGCGTGGCAGCCCTCGGGGAGCAGGTGCTCAGCACCATGGGAACGCATCCAACAACAGTGCTTCTGCCTGCTGTGCCCACCATTGCCTCAGATGTGACAACTGTCCACAAGCACATGGCCAGGGGTCCCTGGTGTGAGGCTGAGGCTCCCCCTGCTGCCACTCCCCGGCCTAGGGTCCCCACTGAGACCACACCAGGCTCAATGCTAGAGTGGAGATGGGGCCTCCCAGCACCATCTGGGCTCCGTGCATTTGCAGCCTTAAGCACAAGTCACCGTCTCCTAGAACAGTGTCCGGGGGCTGCGCTTATGACGGGCTGTACCGAGTGAACTCCCTGAGCCTTTAATGTAGAGGGTAGGGCTGGGCACTACCAGCGCTTTGGGAGGCAGAGGTGGGTGGATTGCATGAGCTCAGGAGTTCAAAACTAGCCTGGGAAACATGGGGAGACCCTGTCTCTACCAAAAATACAAAAATTAGCGGGGCGTGGTGGTGGGTACCTGTAGTCTCAGCTACCTGGGAGGCTGAGGTAGGAGATTGCTTGAGTCTGGGAGATGGAGGTTGAAGTGAGCTGAGATTGCGCCACTCCACTGCAACCCTGGGCAACAGAGTGAGACCCTGTCTCAAATAGTAAAATAAATAAAATATAAAATAAAATAAAAAGAAGGGGCATGCTGGGGGTGCGGTGGGGGGCAAAAAAGCAGAGGCGCCTGGGCTCACTTCCTCTGTTCACAAGTTTCCACCTGGAACCTCATGGGGCGGACGCTGACGCCCTGCAGACATCACCATTTACAAAAAGTGGAGTGAACTAAGAACGCCGCCTGCCGCCTCCACGTGCGTGCAATGGCTCTGGAAGGACCCTACGGCAGGCGCTAACACATCTGCCTCTGAGAAGGGAAGCCTGGGGGTGGGGGGATGGGGGTGGGGGGCAGACTCCGTGGCCTGCCTTTTCAAACCTTTTAAATTCTGAACTGCAAGGTGTGGGCTTGTAGTAAAGATAAAGCACGCTTCATATGAAAACGATGAATGAAAACGCCAAGAATGCAAATAATACCCATTGCCAGTTATCAAGAGAACTCTCTTGGAAGGCTAGAATGACACCACCCAGGGAGGGTCACTAAAGGAACCGGGCGTTTCGTGAACTTCAGCACCAGAAAGAGGCCTGGAAAGCAAAGGCTGGCCCACCTTGCACAGCAATGGGAACGTGTCACCCAGGGTCCTCAATGCCACATTCATGAGCTGGCAGCCCACACAGGGAGATGGGGAAGTCACACTCAGCGGGCTGTCCCAGCGCCTCCAGGACACAGCTCTCCACGTCCCACAGGTGCAGTCCTCTGCTGACTCCAGGCCACCGCGACCAACAACCTTTGTTTCCCTGCCCCCAGCTCTAGCCAGTCCCCACATCGAAAGGTGATAACTGAAGTTGTCAGGGATCCTCACCTACCCAGCTTCCACCACCGCTGCTTCCTGGAGCGCTGCAGGGCCCTGCAACTGGCCCGGGACTGCCAGAAAGAGCCAGGGGCACGGCCGTGGCTGGCAGACCACACCCCCTTACCACCACCGTGAGGAGCTGGGGGTCCCGGGTCAGCCAGCCAGGCCCTGACTCCCCACGCCCACTGACCAACACAGCGGGCTCAGGTGCATCCCCGCAGCAGGCCCAGGCCCAGGGCTCCAGATGTTTTCTCCACCAGTAAACAGATGTGGCTGTGGCGGTGAGGCCGCCCCGCCGCCTGAGTCCTGGCCACCTCAGAAGCCCACACAGGGCAGGAGCTGCTTCTCCTTATTTTACTCCCTAGGATGGAGAAGGCGGAGGGGTTCCCAGGACTTACATAGGAAGAACAGCAGATACTTTACCCAAAATAAACAAAAGAGAACAAGCCTTCTGCCAAACCACCCTTTCAATAGTATTTGGGCTGGGTGTGGTGGCTCACGCCTGTAATCCTAGCACTTTGGGAAACAGAGGCGGGAGGATCGCTTGAGCCCAGTCGTAAGAGACCAGCCTGGGCAACACACGAAGACCCTGTCGTTACAAAAAATGTAAAAACTAGCCGGGCGTGGTGGTGCGCGCCTGTAGCCGCGGCTCCTCGGAAGCCTGAGGCAGGAAGACTGCTTGAGCCCAGGAGGTCAGAGCTGCAACGAGCCGCGATCCCGCCTGCACTCCAGCCTAGGTGACAGGCGGACGCCCCGTCTCCAAAATAAATAAAATAAAATAATTTTGTCGTTGCTTATTCCTCATAGTCAGTCTCATGCTACCAAGTGACCAGGCCACTTTAATGGATGTGAGGAACTGACAGAGGCCACGTTAATTAACAAACCTTTTTTTTTTTTTTTTTTATTGGAGATAAAAACAGCAAAGTCCCACATACCATACCCGACAAGACACAACGTGTGCGGACGAGCCTTGGCTGTGTACCGGTGCTGCAGGATGAGGCTGTCCGCCGGGCCTGGGCTGCTCCAGCTACGCGGGGAGGCGGCCCCATTGCAAAGTGCGGTTTCTCTGCGAAGGTGGCGGCGGGTCAGTGGCAGAGGGCCATGGTTTCCATGTTAAGGAAGCGGACGTGCATCTTGGTCTCAATGTCAATCCCCTGCCAGATCTGGAAGGTATGGACCAGCATTAAGGGCACATTCCCACCGCCACCTCACACCTGACCAGGCCCCGGTCCTCGGTCCTTCCCCACCTACCCTCTCCTGCCACCAACAGTGATGTTCCGGGCAGGTGAAAGCCCGAGGGCTGTGTTTCAAGGCTAGGAGCTAAGCGAGGACGAAAAACTTCCATCTGTCTTTTTTGCTGGTTAATTTGGCTCTGACATTTGGATTCTCTCTGAGATTGTCACAGCAAGTTATTATTAAGTACTGAATCCAAGCTCTTAGCTCCAAGTCATTTGAATCTCACCCACCACTTCAGGTTCTGCGATTTTCATGCAAATTATATAACCCCATTAAGTCCCCTTTCCATGACAATGCGGGACCCCCAACCTGTGCCGCCCACTTCACAGAATGTCGGGGGCTCTAAAGGAACCATCCTCATCATGGATGTGTTTTGTAAACTGTTAGGGGCTGTGCAGTCACAAGGCTTCGCTAGGCCACCATCATCAATTTAAGGATCTCCAGTGTGGTCTTTACAACCTCCCTGAGATAAGGGACCACGTGTATTCTAGAAAGACAAACTCAAGCCCAAAAAGGTCATTTCTACCCAAAGATCGCATCGTGGCCCCATTCCTGGTGCTGGTACTGTCACTACAGTCCAGCCTGGCCAGGGCCCTGGAGCAGACCTTCACACTACAAGGCTATGTATGTACCCCAGTGCTCCCAAGGCCATGCCCGCCAGCGCCTTAGCAAGTCAGGGCCCACGGGGGCCACAGATGGTAGGATGGGGGGTGCGAACAGGAATGGAGGGATGTGGTGGGCGGGGTGACTTCTCACTGCCTCCCGCTTATGTAAGAACTTCAAACTCTCTGTCACTCTCAGCATCTCCGGGGACAGCCACGAGGCTGGTAACGGGGGAAAGTCAGAGCCCCGTGGGCACCCAGGGGACAGGGAGGCCTTGGGACATTTCTGGCCGCAGCCCCCCGGTACTTCCTGCTTTCCTGAGGCTGTTCTGGGTGTCATGGGGTGTGCAGACAGCTCTGGTTCCAGTCGAGCAGCCCTATCCTTGCTGGGTGCACGAGGCGTTCCCAGGGTAACACACATGACCACTCACAGTGGTTTCTGCTAAGTGCCAGGTGGCAACATGGTCGCCAAGGGCAATGGAAGGAACCAGGGAATGGGAAGGGCCGGCTGGTCCCAAAAGACCCCTCAGGGATACAGGGACAGGCTGGGGGGCACTAGGGGCCTGGCAGAGGCCAGCCTTTAGGGCAAGGAAGTTGGTTTCAGAGGCAAAGAAATTCATTCTACTCAGTCTGAAGCCGTTGTACTTCCTCCCCAACCCTCCCTCCCTCCTCCACCTTCTAGCTCTTCGTCCTGTTGTCTTGCTCTGGCGGGCATCACCTGCTCAGGTGACCGGGTCCCCAGCAGAAGCCAGAGTGAGTCTGCAGCACAAGTGCAAATTCTGCCTTTTGCCAGTCTGTCCGCCCTGCCAGCCCCGGGGGGGCCATGTGCACGGCAGTCCTGGGGGCCTGCCGACCTCCGCAGTCTCCTTTCAGCCTTTTATCACAGCCGGGCCCTGTTGCCTGCCTCTCCTCTCTCCTGCCGGGTCTAACCATTGGCTGCCAGGCTCAGCCTTGGCTCCATGGCGCTGTGATCCTGAGGGCCCAGTCCCCCAGTCCTGCTCTGGGCTCCTTGGCCAGAAGCCGTGATCCTTCCTTCCCTAATCCTCTCTCCCTCTTGGTCTCCTGCTCCCCTGACTTCCTTGTCTTCCTCAAGCCCCTCAAAAGCATTGGGAACACTGTTGTGATGCCCAGGGCCCAAGTGCGGGGAGGGGGATGGGACAGGGGTCCCCTCCCTGCCACAGGGCATCTGATTATCTAAACGGCCAGAAGCAACTCTTGACTTGCGAGGCCAGCACTGGCCTAACCACCGCCCACCAGCAGAGGCTGCAGAGGCCATCAGGGAGGAGGCAGAGTGGGCGGCCGCTTTATGAAAGTGACATCTTAGGACACAGCGAGGAAGGCCCAGGCACAGCATGTGCAGTCGGCTCCAATCTGAGCTTCTGAGAAACACTGTTTCTACAGACACGGAAAGTTCCCAGAATCCCTGTTCCAACTACAATGGGGCTTTTTTTTTTTTTTTTTTTTTTTTTTTTTTTTGAGACGGGGTCTCACTCCATCACCCAGGCTGGAGCACAGTGGCGCGATCTCAGCTCACTGCAACCTCCACCTCCTGGTTTCAAGCGATCCTCGTGCCTCAGCCTCCCGACTAGCTGGGACTACAGGCGCCCACCACCACGCCTGGCTAAGTTTTGTATTTTTAGTAGAGATGGAGTTACACCATGTTGGTCAGGCTAGTCTTGAACTCCTGACCTCAGGTGCTCTGCCCACCTCAGCCTCCCAAACTGCTGGGATTACAGGCGTGAGCCACCAGGCCCAGCCTACAACAGGGGTTACCTCTGAGAGGGGCAGTGGGACCCCAGGTGAGAGAGAATTTGGTTTACACTGTATACCCTTTTGTACTGCTTACGTTGTTTTGACTGTGTGTGAATATTACCTTTTCCATAAAAAATAAGAAAAACCAGTTTAAATTGCTTTAAAGGCCACACCCAAGTTGACCCCTTCCTACTGATGTCGGTCACCCAGGAAGCCTGTCCCTTGCCACTGCAGGTAAAGAGCCATGTCCCCTCCTGACATGGACCACACGAGGTCTTCAAGGGTCCCCCAAGGCCCCCACGCCCAGGCCACCCACCTTCAGAAAGTCCTCGAAGGTGATCCCCTCGTACACCTGATCAGGCTCCTGGGGACGGAAGCACAGGGTGGACAGTGAGTGGTGCGGGTCCCCACACAGCTTCCTCAGGGGGACGGTCCACTGGCCTCCCCTCCCCACCAACACCCGAATATAAGTGGTTGAGGCTGTTTGGGAGGAATCAGAAGAGGGGAACGTTCTGGATTATCTGCCTCTAGCACGCAGCCGGTCACCCTGCACCTCCAATATCCTCATTCATGGGCTTGAGGGTGGGATGGGAGCTGAGCGTGGCTCACCAGGGCCCTGACAACGCATGGCTCAGAGCAGCATCCCTCCCCACCCCCAGCCCCCCAGGGAGAGAATCTGAGGCGTGGGTGACACGGGGGCAAGGGGCTCTCCTTCCCCACTCAGCCCACCTCACCACCAGCCCCCCAGCAGCTGGGCCACCAAGATACCTCCTGCCGCCCCAGGGCTGGCCTCCTCATGCCAGTGCTGTGCTGTGCTGATAAGAAGATTCCAGGCTAATCTAAGCTCACAGACCTCAGGGGAGAGGTCAGCGAAACACAGGGCCAGCCTGTGAGGCCCACGCCTCATGCCTCATGAGTCACTGTGATAACCCAGGACCTCCGGGGAGGCACGGCTGGAGGGTGGCCGCAAGGAGGCTCTCCATGCTGAACAGATTTGGCAGAGCCGGTCTCCATCTACTCTGCATCCTGCCTGCTCTGGGGACGACACCAGGAGCTCCTGCCCCTTTCACCGATACTCTCAGGATCCCACCGACAAGCCTCCAAAAACCTCACCCAGCAGCACGCTTCGTGACAGCGAAAATCTGCTGATATCCCAGGTGCCCTTCAATAGAAGGCGAGGGACATAAATCTCAGTCATCCACCCTATTTGCAAGGCCAGCACTGGCCTAACCACCCTCCACCAGCAGAGGCAACCATTAACCACTTATGCCTAGTGTTCCATTGCTGGAACGCTAAGCTGTGGGAGTTGCTTATATTCTACTGCTCAAGGTCATCACCAAGGTCTGATTGCAGAAATTCTAAAAGCTGCAACCTCAGGCTAAAATGGGTTAAGAAGGGGTTGATCTATATGTCTCACTATGGAAAAGGCTCTGAGATATGCATACAGCAGATAAAGAACAAAAAAACAAAACCCAACAAGCAGAGAGATGTCTGCAGGTCTGTGTGTGCAAACCTTTCCTTAGACTGATAACCAGACCCCCACCATCTGCCCTGTGGGTGCATGGGGTCATACGGAGAAAAGGGGAAGCCACATCAGTTCAATCATGTTTTGCATAAATCAAAAATAAAAGACATGCATGTATACGTTGGTATATGTAGGAAAAAAACCCACCAAGAGGGAGTCCTTTTAGGGAAGAGGACCTGGGCTGGTGGGGGAGCAGGCGAGACTTGAAGCTCTCTCTGTGACTCTCTGAAATTCTGTACGTGCGTGTAAGAACACAGGAGGCACACACTAAGTGTGTTATGCGCCAGGCATGTATGTCCCAAGTGCCTTCCAAATGCTATTGTTTTGTTTTGTTTTGTTTTTGAGACAGTCTCGCTCTGTCGCCCAGGCTGGAGTGCAGTGGCGCAATCTTGGCTCACTGCGACCTCTGCCTCCCAGGTTCAAGTGATTCTCCTGCCTCAGCCTCCCAAGTAGCTGGGATTATTATAGGCATGCACCACCATGCGTGGCTAATTTTTAAATATTTTAGTAGAGATGGGAGTTTCACCATGTTAGCCAGGCTGGTCTCGAACTCCTGACCTCAAGCAATCCACCTGCTTTGGCCTCCCAAAGTACTGGGATTACAGGTGACCAAATGCTATTGTTAGCATTTAATGACAGATGCCAATCTCACAACAGGCCCTGAGCTGGGTTTTGGTCTCTCTCCCGTATTACAGATGAGAGGCACAGAGGGCAGCTGCCTGTCCAGCTGGGAGCATCGAGCTGCCTCCAAGTCCTTAAGGGCTGTTTCTACTGGCAGGACTTTGCAGGCCTTTTAGTTTCCTCTTTATACTTAAAAAATTTTGGCCGGGCACAGTGGCTCACACCTGTAATCCCAGCACTTTGGGAGGCTGAAGCAGGAGGATCATGAGGTCAGGAGATCGAGACCATCCTGGCTAACACGGTGAAACCCTGTCTTTACTAAAAATACAAAAAATTTGGCCGGGCGCGGTGGCTCAAGCCTGTAATCCCAGCACTTTGGGAGGCCGAGACGGGCGGATCACGAGGTCAGGAGATCGAGACCATCCTGGCTAACATGGTGAAACCCCGTCTCTACTAAAAAATACAAAAAACTAGCCGGGCGAGGTGGCGGGCGCCTGTAGTCCCAGCTACTCGGGAGGCTGAGGCAGGAGAATGGCGTAAACCCGGGAGGCGGAGCTTGCAGTGAGCCGAGATCGCGCCACTGCACTCCAGCCTGGGTGACAGAGCCAGACTCCATCTCAAAAAAAAAAAAAAAAAAAAAAAAAAAAAATTAGCTGGGCATGGTGGCGGGCAACTGTAGTCTCAGCTACTCAGGAGGCTGAGGCAGGAGAACGGCGTGAAACCAGGAGGTGGAGCTTGCAGTGAGCCGAGATAGTGCCACTGCACCCCAGCCTGGGCAACAGAGCGAGACTCTGTCTCAAAAAAAAAAAAAAAAAAAAAAAATTTGGCCAGACACAGTGGTTCACATCTGTCATCCCAACACGTTGGGAGGCCAAGGCAGGAGGATTCCTGGAGGCCAGGAATTCGAGACCAGACTGGTCAACATAACGACATCTCTTTTCAGCAATACATCTCTTTTTTTAAAAACTTTAAAAAATCAGCTGGGTGTGGTGTTGTACATCTGTAGTCCCAGCTGCTCCAGAGGCTGAGGTAGGAGGATGGCTTGAGCCCAGGAGATGGAAGCTGTAATGAGCTATGATCACAACACTGCACTCAAGTTTGGGCGACAGAACGAGACCCTGTCTCTTAAAAAATAAATAATAAATTACAAGTTCTCGGCTAGCCTGGGCCAGCCCTGTCCCTAAGGGCTCCTTCCTCCCTGTCTTCCCACTCACGGGCACAGTGGCTGCCCTCCCTGCCGGGCCACCCTAGGTTCCCAGGCCGGCCAAGGGGAGCTAATTATAGAAAAGGCCCCCGTGGCCAGAGTCCGGGGCTGGAAAGGGGGTGATTGGCGCAAGGAAGGAGGGCAGGGAGTGGGGGAAGCAGTCCCCCCCGGTCAAGCATCCGTGGGTGCGACCTCCCGAGAAAGCACTCTCAAAACATCCCACGGGCCAGCGCAGCGGCTCACGCCTAGAATCCCAGCACTTTGGGAGGCTGAGGTGGGTGGATCACTTGAGGTCAGGAGTTCAAGATCAGCCTGGCCAACATGGTGAAACCCCATCTCTGCTAAAAATACAAAAGTTAGCCAGGCATAATGGCACATGCCTGTAATTCCAGGTACTCGGGAGGCTGAGGCAGGAGAATCACTTGAACTCAGGAGGTGGAGGTTGTAGTGAGCCAAGATGGTGCTACTGCACTCCAGCCTGGGTGACAGAGTAAGACTTGGTCTTGAAAAAAAAAAAAAGAGATCCTGCCTCCATCAATAACTGCCTTTGGAAGTCCATTAAAGTGGGGACCATGGATCATTTGTTTTCAGCGGGTAGCACGGTGAGAACGGGAAGTGTCCTCAGAGGCCAGGCGGGATTGAACCGATGCAGCTGCCCCTTGCCCCCAGCTCAGGCCTGTACACAACTTGGTCTGGGTTTATCGGGCCGAGGTTTACACCAGAAGGATTTTAAGAGCGCCCAGTTTTAAGAGCGCCCGGAGGACCCATGAGTGAAGAAAGAGGTGCAGATGAGCCCGCTGCCTGGCAGCCGCCTTCCTGGTTCCGGGGCTACCTCCACCTCCCGGGGGCTTGTGGGCAGCGGGTGCACCCCGGAGCCCGCCTCCGCCCCGAGATGCCGCTGCTTCCCAGGCTGCTGGGGTTTTATGCAGATCAGCAGCTGCCAGCAAATTCACTACAGCAAATTAAGAAAACTGTCACCAATTGAAACTGGAGTGGGACAGGGAGCAATTTGAAGAAGGAGAGTGTAATTAAATCAAATGGAAATTTGGCCCGACAACCGGCGGGGATCCCTGCTCTCCCCACCGAGGTCACGAGCCGTCTCCTGTGGTGGTTAATCTGCTGAGTGCAGAGGTTTCACCCAAGCCAGAAGCTTCCCCCCGGGCTCCAGAGGCAGACAGATAAAACACATGCCAGGAAGCCGACCGACCACAGCCCCCGCCTCTGGGAGCAGGCCCAGGCAGGTGGCCTCATGTCCCTCAAGGACGGGGTTGGGGCACAGAGAGCAGGATCCAGCATGAACCCCCCTCTGCTCCGGGCTAGGCGAACAAAACCATCAGGGTGTCTAGAGACGCACCTGCTTTAGACACACAGGGGCAAAGGGCTGACAGCGTCAGTGGGGCCATCCAAACCCCTCAGGGAACACACGACACCCAGGTGGTCACCTGCCTTCCTGAGTGGTCCCGAGGCTTAGAGCCTCAGGGCTGGGGGCTGGCGGGGCTGCACCTGTCCTTACAAGAGGAAATCTTCCCAGCACAGGAAAGATCGCAAGGTCTAGAGGATTCTCTACGCTCTCTGAGCCTCAGTTTCCCCACCAGTCAAAATGAGGCAAAATGTAGGAAATGATGAACATGGGAAGGCCGCTCCCCTCTCCTCCATGTCATTTACACACCAGCCCCTACCTCAGCTCCTCCACCTGACCCTACGCCATCGGCTCTTGTCAGTCCCCAACAGGGCTCCCTGCTGACCCCTGCTCCAAGGCCAGAAGTCGCCTCTGAGTCATTTGTTAATAAACTAATTTGGGCCAGCCTGTGCCATGTGCTGCCCAGGCCTGGCTCCAGGGCCCAGTGCTGCTATGAGCACTGATTGAGGCCAGGATGGGGGCTGGGGGGCTATGCAGGTGGGGGCTCCTGGACCTCGAGCTCGCTTCCCTGCCTGTGCAGTTCTCTGGGAACTGGGACCTTCAGTCTCCTGGGGAACGGGAAGGGCTGGAAGAGGTTTCTGAGCCCCACAGGCCACAGGTAGAGCAGGTGGCAAAATACACCAGGCCCCATGCCCCGTGAGGCCTTCCAGAAACACAGCGCATAAGCAGGAAAGGCACTGCGTGTCTCAGGAGGGCTGCAGGGGCGCTCACCATCTGCCCCATGCACACGCTGGCCGCCTCCATCATGGCCCCGTCGGCGATGGAGCGAGCGGACTCCTTCTCGATGTGGGGGTTTCCTGACAGCAGCTCCTCGACCACCTGCCAGGTGGGGCGGAAACAAACGGTGACCTTGGGCCTCCATCAGGGTCGTGGGGGGCGGGAGGGAGGTGCCAGGAACCCAGGGCGGGCCAGAGGAGCATACTTTACATTTCGATATTCTTCCAGGGTGATGCGGCCGTCGCTGTCCGAGTCGTACATGTGGAACAGAACTGGGGTGGCAGGGGACAGAGGGGACTCCGTCAGGCGGGGCCTGGCCCCTGCCACCCCGAAATCTACACTAAACTAAGCAAAAGACACCAATAACCAAACCTCAATGCCAAAGCCAGAGGGGTCAGGCATGAGCTGTGGGACCAGACTGACCACTTCCTACTGGGTGACCTTGGACCTGTGACCTAACTTCTCTGAGCCTCAGTTTCCTCATCTGTGAAATGGGAATAACAACAGCATCTACCTCATGGCCTTAGGAGGGCTGGGAGCTAGCGCTGTGGCCCCATGAGCATGAACATGACGACAGTAAGCATTACCCGTTAACACAAGTCAACAGTGTTGAGTTCAAAATATTGCTCCCACAGCCCCAGGAGGCCCCATCGTCTCAGCCGTGGCAGGTCGCGGTCCACAATGCTTCTGATCTGGGCCCGACTGATCTAATGTGGACGGTCCCAGGCCTGGCATCAGGGAGGCGCTGGCCGGGAGGGGGCCTCTCCCTGTTGTTCCTAGCACGGCCTTGGGAGCTGGAGCTCTCCCAAGTCTCCTGTGTTGGCATTTTCTTTTCTAATGTATTATATTTTTTCAAGATGAAGTCTCGCTCTGTCACCCAGGCTGGAGTGCAGTGGCACGATCTGGGCTCACTGCAACCTCTGCCTCCTGGATTCAAGAGATTCTCCTGCTTCAGCCTCCCAAGTAGCTGGGATTACAGGTGCATGCTGCCATGCCCAGGTAATTTTTGTATTTTTAGTAGAGACAGGGTTTCACCAGTTGGCCAGGCTGGTCTCAAACTCCCAACCTCAAATGATCCACCCGCCTCAGCCTCCCAAAGTGCTGTGATTACAGGTGTGAGCCACCATGCCTGGCCAGCATTTATTTGTTATTGTTATTATTTTTTTCAGAAATGGAGTCTCCCTCTGTCGCACAGGCTGAACGTAGTGGTGCAATTGTAGCTTGCTGCAGCCTCCATCTCCTGGGCTCAAACAACCCTCCCACCTCAGTCTCCTGAGTACCAGGGACCACGGGCACGCAGCACCACTATGCTGTGCTAATTTTTTTATTTTGTAGAGGTGAGTGTCTTTCTCCCTGTTGCCCAGGCTGGGCCCTGAACTCCCGGCTTCAAGTGATCCTCCCCACTCAGCCTCCTAAAGTGCTGGGATTACAGGCATGTGCCACTGAGCCCAGCGGGCATTTATTGAACACTGACCAGATGCCCAGGTGTGCAAAGCGCTTCAAAAACCTCTCAATCTCCCTCTCACCCAACCCCAAGAGGCCAGGGATGCCTGAGCCCTGCCTCCCAGACAGACTGTCAAAGCTCACGGAAGTTAAGGCGTTTGCCCACGGCCACACCACTAAGGGACAGGAAATCAGGGATTTGGACCTGAGTCCGTCCTGTTCCTCGCCCCTTGGAGCAGACAGGAAGCTAGGCTCACACCAGGGATCCCCCCCCCGGGGCGGTTCCCACCAGCCCCACGTACACATTCCAGTGCTAAATATAGTCAAGTCCCATGTTTACATTTTCTTGATGAGGAGGTTGACCTGGGGCGGGGCACAGAGGGATGTCAAGAGTCATGGGAAAGGCCACAGGAAAAGAAGATGTGACTCGGGCCACTGCCTGGGACCTGTGCGGCTGACCAGCTGGGACCACAACTGAACCCACTCGGGAGCCAGAACATAGTGGGGCTGGTCTCAGGAACCCAGCAATAGCACAGCCCACGGAGGAGGGAGAGGAGGAAACTGACTATAGGGGGCACTTCCTGTGTGCCAAAGGCTGACTGTGTGATCTTGCCCAGCCCTCAGAACCACACATAATCAGCATACCCACGTTCTGGGTCAAGGTTCAAGGTCACATGGCTGGTAGGTGAGAGGGGCCACATTGGAACCCAGGTCTTTGCATCAAGGGCCTTGCTTCACAGCCACCGCACAACCCCCTTCTAGTCCCAGGACGCCGCAAGCTGCTGAGGAATGTTTAGGATGAGGGCGCCGGGAACGGGAGACAGCAATGCCAGCCTCACAGGGACAAGGGCTGGTGTCCCCAAGCCCTCCAAGCCTCCAAGCCAATGCACACCCAGCCTCCTGCTGCAGGGGTGCCTTGTGTTCTGAGGACTTAGGGGAGGCTGCACCCCAGGCCAGGCGTGAGCAAGGGGACTCAGTGGCACGCACATCTCAACTTCTCCTTCCGGGACAGCTCCACCTGTTCCTCATCCATGGTGGTGTCGATGGGCCGGAAGTAGGACATGATGGTCAGGAAGTCCTCGAAATTGATCTCATCAGCCAGGCCACTGGATCCCTTGCGCAGGTTCCTACGGGAGCAACAAGGAGGGTTTTGGAAATAAATGAAGAACCGGATCTTGTCCCCTTGCTACCATTAGCTCCGAAAACTCTGCTCTCAGGGCACAAACTAGACCCACGATGGCTGCTCTCGCCTTGAGTCTGTGCCCCAGAAACCTGCTTCGTGGAGGGGCTGGGGGCTCCAGAAGCTGAAAGTTCAGTCCCTGCCTCGCCCTCATGGAGCTCCCCCATCAGGGAGGTGGAAGAGAGACAGACCACTGCATGACTGTTGATTCAGGCGGGGACAGAGGGAAGCGTGGGTGTGTGATGGTGCACACAGGCGAGCATTTATGAGGAAACCAAGCAATCCAGTAACTCACCAAATACCTCTCCCGATCCTTTCCTTTAGCTCAGGGGTTGGCAAACCGCCCACGGGCCCAATCTGGCCTGTCATCTATTTTCATACAACCCATGAACAAAGAAGACTTTCTGGGCCAGGCGTGGTGGTTCACGCCTCTAATCCCAGCACTCTGGGAGGCCGGGGTGGGCAGATCACCTGATGTCAGGAGTTCGAGACCAGCCTGGCCAACATGGTGACACCACGCCTCTACTGAAAATACAAAAATTAGCCGGGCGTGGTGGTGTGCACCTGTAGTCCCAGCTACGCGGGAGGCTGAGGCGGGAGAATGGCTTGAACTTGGGAGGTGGAGGTTGCAGTGAGCCGAGATCACACCACTGCACTCCAGCTTGGGTGACAGAGGGAGACCCTGTCTCAAAAAAAAAAAAAAAAAAAGACTTTTCACATTTGTATCTTAATTTTGTCAGAGTCAGGGTCTCACTCCATTGCCCAGGCTGGAGTTTGGTGGTGTGATCATAGCTCATGGCAGCCTCAAACTCCTGGGCTCAAGCAATCCTCCTGTCTTGGCCTCCCAAAGTGCTGGGACTATATGTGACAGCCATGTGCCTGGCCGGTTTTCACATTTTTAAATAGTTGAAAAAATGCTTGCCAAAAAAAAAAAAAAAAAAAAGTCAAAAGAATAGTATTTCATGACGAGTGAAAATTACATGAAATTCAAATGTGAGTGTCCATAAATAAAATTTTATTGGCACACAGCCATGCCCATTCATTTATGCTTGTCTGCAGAGTTGAGTAGATGCAAGAGAGACTGCGTGGCCCGCAAAGCCTAAAATATTTACTCCTTGTCTTTTTACAGAAAAAGTTTGCCAACCTTTGCTTGCTCTCACTAGTTCAAAATTTTAGGATGGTGATTGACTGCAAGCATCACTAAGTAATCTGTTTATACCCAAATACAAAGTTTGCCAATGACTGAAAGTTTTGTGGTAAGTTAGGGCAGATTTGAGGCTGGCCGTATCAATGTGCTTTTTGGAGGAGGTAAGAAAGGGCTGGTGTTCCAGGGGACGGGGACACAGGGAGTTCATGCCCCATGCCGGGCACAGTGCCTGACACCCAGATGAGGGGCTCAGAAATGTGTGGTCCAGCTCGAGTCTTGGCAGTTGCTAAGAAAATAGCTTGGAGGCCAGGCGCAATGGCTCACGCCTGTAACCCCTGCACTTTGGGAGGTTGAGGCAGGCCAATTGCTTGAGCTCTGGAGTTCAAGACCACCCTGGGCAACAGGGAGAAACCCTGTCTCTACAAAAAAATACAAAAAAATTAGCTGGGTGCGGTGGTGTGCACCTGTAGTCCCAGCTACTTGGGGAGCTGAGGTGGGAGGATTGTTGGAGCCCAGGAGGCCAAGGCTGCAGTGAGCCAAGATCACGCCACTGCACTCCAGCCTGGGTGACTAAGTTTGAGATCTTGTCTCAAACAAAACAAAACAAACAGTCTGGAGACGACTCCAAACCCGAGCTCCTGACTCACTGTCCTCAAACCTTATCACTAATGGACTGCGACTGTGAGCGCCCGAGGCCGCTAGGGAGGCTGTCATACAGCTGGCAAGCTCAAGGTTCTGCCACAGCCCCTCACTGTGGCCCTTCGGAAGGGGCAGTACCTAGCTGGCCCGGGGTGGCTAACAGTTAGTGGTTAGTGCTTGGATGTCACTTGGGTTCCACCCAGGGCATGACTGCACCTCCACTGCAATTCTCTCTTTAGAGGTTCATCTACTACTCCTTTTCAGCACCCAGCAAATACACTGACACCCATACGACACCCTCTGAGTGGCCCGGGAACTCCCTTTCTTTTTATTTTTCTCTTCCAGATTTTCCAGGGAGAGGTGGGGTCCCAAGTCTGGATGAGAGAAGGCAGAAACTGCCCATCTGCGGGATGAGATCCCTCCTTCCCTCAGGAAGGCCCATCTTTATGTGTTTTCACAGGTCTCCCTTCTTTCTTTTATCGGATGAAGCTCCCAACTGCTCCTGCCACAGGCTTTAATAACCTTGAAGTTCTCGCTGTGGGCGGCACAGACCAAATTTACAGAGCATAAAAATAGCCCCCGGACTTATCAGGCTGCTCTGAAAGCCCTTCCCACAGCGACTGGCTCACACGTCCTTCTCAAGTGGTTTAGGCTGCAGCAAGAGGGATTAAGATTAGCACGGGCGAAAATGTGACAGACCCCTGGGGAAGGCAGGGTGTGTGTCCTTCTCTGGGACGGTTGAGACCTGCTCTGCTTCAGCCTCAGGACCCAATTCAAGGAAGGAGGGTCCCTTCCCCTCCGAGTGCTCCCAGAGGTCTGCAGAGACCAACATTATGGTCTCCAAAGGCAATGAGAGCCAGCGCCAAGGAAACCCAGACAGAGCACCTGGAACCAGCCCCACCTGCTCTCCACTCCATTTTCTAAATAAAAGGTTTTTTTTTTTTTTTTTAGAGATGCAATCTCACTATATTGCCCAGACTGGTCTTGAACCCTGGCCATATGCAATCCTACTGCCTCAGCCTCCTCAGCTGCTGGGATTACAGGCACGTGCCACCATACCCAGCGCTCTGCTCCCATTTCTAAAATGAGCACCAGGATGAAGATCAGTGGACAGAAAACAGGGGCTACATCTAAATCTGTGGCCCAGCATGAGGGCAGGCCATCTTCTCTCCTTTTGCAAAGATGCCACCTTAACTTTCTAATTCTCCTGTAAGGAATGGAGTGCCCCTGGAGGTGGGGATGGGCTCACAATACCCCTTTCCCAAGACCTGTTCCCAAAAAGTCTTAGGAACAAAGGCTGAGGCTGGTATTTCTTGAAAGGAAAATCCTGTTTCCAGCATCTCCTCTGAAATCCTCCTCCAGCTTCTTCTCAGCATTTACAGGATATGACGTGAAGCCCTTTTCCAACAGTTACAGGCTCCCAGCTGTAGCCCACGAAGTGTTCTGGGTGCAGGCCAGAGGAAACCCTTCTTAAAATCATCCCCTCCCTCGGTGACTTCTGGGCCAGCCTTAGTCACTGGCACCTCCCTCTCTCCACACCAGGTATCTCTAAAGAGCAGCTGGAGGCTGAGGTCCGGGGACCCATAGGGGAGGCTCTCACCGCCCCATACCTGGCCACCACCCTCCGCTTCTGGCTCGGCCTAGATCCCTGGCCATCTTTCCGTGGCAGCTCCATCAGGCAGGCACAATGACAGCTGCTCTCAGCTCCAGACCCGGAGTCTCCTGGTGCCCCCCACATCCCCACACCCAACCCATCCCCAGGTTCACACCTCTAGTCAGTTCCCTGGGAACCTTCCTTTTCTCTCCTGGCCCCTGCAGCTGCCTGGCCCAGCCCCCACCTTCCCGTGCACTCCAAGTGCAGCCGGAATGCGCTTTGCAAAATGCAAATCGGAGCCTGTCACTCCCCTGCTCAGCACCCTCCTGGGGCCTCCCCCGTCCTCCTGGTAATCCCCAGTCCCACCTGGACTTCCAGGCCTGCAGGGTGGTCTCAGCCACCCGCACCAGCGCAGACCTCACTGCCCCTTTCTGCCTAGCTCCCTCCTCAGGGTCCCCACAGGCCTGTCCCACCTGGAGTCCCCCTGAGATGTGAGATGTGGCCACTTGTTTCAACATCCACCTTCTGAACACTCCATATTCCCCAGTGACTGAGGTCCCTGTCCCCTACCTTCAGGGAGCGCCACTGGCGCCTGTGCCAGTCCTTCCACGACTCTGTCCTAAATCAGACCCTCAAAGGAGGAGGAGGCTACTGCCTCCATCTGCCTGTCCCTACGTCTGGCAGCAGCATGCCCAGTGCACCCTCTCGTCTTCTGAAAACCAGAGAGGTGTCCGCCCTGGCCCTTTCCCCACACCCTGTCTCCTGGAGCGCGGCTGTTGATGGAGAACAGCCTGGCAGGTACGCGAATTCCACCTCAAGAGCCCAAAACACAACTCCTGGGTCTGTCCAGGATCGTGAGGCCGACAGACCCGAGTTGGAATCCCAGTTCCTACAAGTGACAGCTGACAGCCAAGTGACCTTGGGTCAAGTTTTTCTTTAAGGAATAAGAGCATACACTAAAATGCACAGGTCTTGTGTTTGGACAAACATATGCCCTTGTGAAATCCACCTCTCATCCACCCCAGAAGTTCCCTCTTCCAACTTTACAACTGGCCAGAGTTGCACCCAAGCCTTCTGAAAACAAGCCTCGCACAGACACACACTCCTACACGTGGACACATGCTCCCTCTCGCGTGCGCATGTGCACAAACACACACACGCATGCACAGGCGGCCCCTGGGCTCTGGTCTCCTGTACCATCTTCCTGTCAGTGCCTCCAACTCTAGGTCCCGTCAGGGGCCACGCCTCCCACCCTGACGCCTACTTTGGCTCATTTGGGGACTGGCCTAAGACGCACCGCCCACCTCTGAGTCCTTTCTCTGAGAGCCAGGATTTAAAGGGAGATGGTGCACCGGATTCCACTCTGTCTTTGCCACCGACTGTGCAACTTCACACACTTCACAGTCACTTAAGCTCCACAGGCCCCTCCTCTTTGGCAAACATGGCAACTGGCCGTGAAGACTCCTTTGGTACCAGGTCTCTCACCCCAACTCCTGATCCAACCCTTCCTCCTCATCTATAATCTCCCAGGTGGCTCAGAGCTGCCCCCTGTGCCCCAGATCCTCAG